TATGGTGAACAACAATCCTAAGGATTATTTACAAAGTAGCAGAGGATTAAGGCGAGGGGATCTTTCATCTCCATTGTTGTTTGTTATTGTGATGGAGGCTTTCAGCAGAATACTTGAGAAGACTGTGGTGGAGAGTTTATTAAGGGGCTTTATGATTGATCAGTTGCACGTATCTCACTTATTGTTCGCGGAAGATACATTGATCTTCTGCGATACAGATGTTAAGCAATTTAGGAACTTGCGTGTTTGCTTTGTGCTTTGAAGCTGTATTCAGATTGAAGATAAATTCAGGAAAATCTGAGGTTATTACAGTGGAAGAGGTCGAGAACGTGGAGAAGTTGGCTGCTATATTGGGTTGTAGGATTGTGCAACTGCCTATATCATACCTTGAGCTTCCTTTAGGAGCACGGTTCAAAAGTAAACATATTTGGAACATTATTGTGGAAAGGGTGGAGAGAAAGCTAGCGTGGTGAAAACGCATGTACCTCTCAAAGGGAGGTCGTCTAACTCTCATTAAGTCCACATCATCGAATCTCCCTACTTATTTTTTGACATTGTTTCCTATTCCCGCTACAGTGGTAAAAAGATTTGAGAGGATTCAAAAAAAATTTCTCTGAGGAGGATACGAAATTATATTTCGTTAAATGGGGTGCAATTTGTTCTCCCATAAGGGTGGGGGGTCCCGAATTGAGGAGCTTTGTATGGTTTAATAAGACCTTGTTGGGTAAGTAGTTATGGCAATTCGGAGTGGAAAAGAAGAGTTTTTGGAGAGAAGTTACAGGGGCAAAATATGGTGTTACGGGGGGATGGTGATCAATCGAGGGCCATGGTTCTTATGAGGTGAGTTTGTGGTAGTAGCAATTTTCGAGATAGACTGACTTTCTTGGTGGGGAATGATAATAATATTAGTTTTGCAATGATTGTTCGTGTGAAGAGCAGCCGCTTATGGTGTGGTTCCCCTTTTTGTATCGTATTGCTTTGGTGCCGTCTATTACAGTGAATGAGGTCTTAGATATACATAACCGAAGTCTCAGTTGGAACACTATTTTTGGCCAGGGTTTGCAGGACTAGGAAGTGGATGATTATGCACAACTTCTAACATCTTTGTATGAGTTGCACATTAAGGTAAGAGAAGGTAATTGTAGCAGGCAGAGATTGGCACAGCACAGTATCTTCTTAGTCGACACTTATTTTAGATCCTTATCAGGACCTGTGAAGACTTCATTCCCTTGGAAGATGGTATGAAAATGTAAACGGCCTCCAAAAGTAGAACTTTTACTGTGGACAGTTATCAGGAGACAAGTGTTAACAGCGGATAATCTTCGAACAATGAATTTTATGTTATAGAGTGGTGCTATATGTGTAGGAGGGATAGGGAGATGATTGACCACTTGTTCCTTCATTGTGATGCTGCTCGGTTGTTGTGGAACGGTATTCTAGCGTCTCAACACATTAATTGGGTGTTGCTGAGGCGTATGGAAGACATGTTGAAGGCATAGAGGAGAAAGTTTCGAAATAAGGATACTAAGCTTATATGAGACCTAATTCCAAGTTGCATCGTATGGTGGGTGGAGAGAGAAACAACCGCTATTTTGATGATCAAATACAAACAACAGATCAAATTAGAACTAGGCATATAGACGGGCTACCCAATTTCATGTTGTTCCTTTCCTGTTTAAATTAATCACACTTCCTGTGTATTTTTCATTGATTAATAAAATATTTGATTACCTTTAACAAAAAAAAATATGACTTTAAAATCTAACTAAAATCTCTCTCTATCTTTAGTCTTATCTTTATGTCCATCAGCAGCACTAAGCCTCATCTGGCCTCTATTACTTCAAATTTTAATGGAGAAATAGTATTTTTTTGGAGAATGAACGATTGAAAAAGAAGAAAAGTTTTTATTGTGTAATATTATTTAATGGAAGATTGTATGGTTGAAATTATGAGAGAAAAATAAAATTAATTTAACGGAGGCCAAATGGTACCAACCCTTGTATAGGATAACTATAGATGAAAATGTTATTTGTATCAAATATTAATGGCAAGCTTTAATATTGTACTCTCACTACTTTAAAACCATCATATATTGCTGGTCTCGAACAACTGGATTTACGTGATTATTTTGAGACATCAGGGTAAAATCCTTCATAAATCAATCTTCGATACACTCATTTAGTTTCAACCATCTAGAACATAGCACAGTAGATTAAACATAAGAAAGAAACTCTTTGTTGGATTTTATGCGCAATATTAAAGAGATAAAAAACGAAAATCAACACAAAAATTTTACGTGGTTCGGTGATGTGCCTACGTCCACGAGAGCGAAGCGAAAATTTCTTTATTCAGTTATTAAAAATAGGGTTACAACATATTATTTATACTAACTCCAACCTGAGCCCATATAACACTTTAAGACCCATACAGAAAATACCCATGTACCGTTTCAGCGTCCCTAACAACCAAACAGTGAACTAAATCCGCGCAAGGCCGATGCCATCGCTCCACTCCTCTCACTCCACTCCGCTCCGCGCCGGCATCGGCCCATTTGATCCAAGGCCTGTATTCCACTCTATATGAGCCACATGCACAACACTCTTTCATAGTAGAACCAAGGGATGAACTAGATATGTCCTTGAACAACTAAATAACCAACATAATTAAAGTACTTATGACGCTCACTGACCTCAAAGAATCAGAATTTCCACATTCCAATGCATCATTCTCTTGGGCTTCACATTCTAGCTCTTCCTTCAACTATCAAACATTATCAAAAAGAAATCATATCAGCAAAAATATTTAATTAGACATATAGAGCTGAAGACACATTCTCTTTTACACTTTTGGGCCAATAGGAACCAAACTACAGAGTTTAATGAAAAGGGGCGTGGGCACTGGGTTCATTCCTTCCATTTTAGTTTCATAGACCTGATGTTGAGCCAGTGCCTCAATTTGTTGCCTGTACACCTCAGTTGCAAAATCAGCATCCCATCCTGATAGCAGGAAATTCTTACTATTAACATAACGGCTCAAAGCATATTCATTTCTTCCGATATGTGAACAGATTATATGACATACGCTGGGCAAGCCCAATTATAATAACTATGCAGATACCAGCCAATTGAATTCCACAACAAAGATGTTAAACATTAAAATGGGATGGGGATTAAAATTAGATTTTTGGTAGATTTTGATAAAAGTTGATGGAATGTGTAGTTAAAAAGTTGTGGGACACAAAATGTATGGTAAAAATTAGTAGTTGACGTGGACTTAGATTAAAATCTGGCTTTCAATTGCAAGCAAGCAGAGGCATAATGTCAATGGCAGTTAAAAGCCAAAAGGCAAAAATTTACTTGCTTCAGATAGCGATAAATACAGTAAACAAGATGTGTTTTTTAGAAGGGCTAAAAACTATCCACTGACGAAGAAATTAAAGAAAGATAATACATACTTTCGTATACAAAAGGTTCTTCATCATCATCAATCTCTGCTTCCATATCCTCTTTTAACTTCTCAATGTGATCCAGCTCCCATTCTGTTTCCTGAACATGAATGTTTGATTCCACAGCAGCCTTGTCTATAATGGGGTCCCATAACTCGAAAAAACGAATGGCATATCGATCAATGGGACGCAGTTGATTCTCAAGGGACGTGATTGCTTGTCCTGCAGCAGCTGCAGTTGTAGACATCTGTTTGACATCTGCCAACATATCAACATCATCTTCTTTACCAGCAAAAGTGAGTGCCCTTTCGTCAATAGCATCACTTCCATTTATAGCCACAGCACCTTCGTTAAATGTAGTGTTCAAGAAACCATGGTCAGCAGGCTCATCAGGCTTCATATCATCTTCTTTAACCAGCTCATCATCTTCCAACTTCGTAATGGCTTCCTCCTCAGTGAACTCTTGATTGTCAACAGCCTCCTCTTGTTCAACTCTCTTCAATGCCATATAGTCAGCCTCATCTTCGGCATTTTTCAATGCAGCCTCCAAATCCACACTAGACAGAGTAATGTCGCCACCATCGTGGGAAACTTTCTCTTTTTGCATATTCTTAGCAGGAATTTTTCCGTGGCCTGAAAACAATTCAATGGGATCCAGTTTTTTGAAAAATTCTGTGTTGTAGCTTCCACTCTGTATAACCAAATCATCAAGAGCACGCTTCTGGTTCGCCTTTCTTAAGATATTTTCTTCAATGGTACTCTCACTGATCAACCGATAGATGTGAACTTCACGAGTTTGCCCAATCCTATGGCACCGATCTTGTGCCTGTTGATCCATAGCTGGATTCCAGTCGCTATCATAGAAAATGACTGTATCTGCACCAACTAGGTTAATGCCAACACCTCCACTGCGTGTCGACAGAATGAAGAGAAATATTTTTGGGTTTGTATTAAACCGCTGCATTAATGTTTGCCTTTCTTCTGGTGGAGTGGAACCATCTAGACGCATGTAAGTGTAACCATACAAATTTATGAAGGCCTCCAAAATGTCAAGCATCTTTGTCATTTGGGTGAATATAAGTGCTCGATGACCTTCATATTTCAAACGTCTAAGCAGAGCCGAAAGCTCCTGCAACTTTCCACAGTCAAACTGAATAAGTCTCCTATCAGGAAAATAGACTTGCCTTCTCACAATAGCAGGGCGAACGGGGAATAGAAGTGGAGATAAAATTTCAGTGAATCTGTCCTTGTACATTTCGTGAATAAACACATTTGTTCCGCCATTGCTGCACCAGCAAACAGGGGGCGGGGCACGTGCAGCTGGGATTGCAAACATGAAACTTTCAACTTGATCAACCATTTTTTCCAATCTTTCTACTGGTGACAGTACAATTGCAGCAAGCTTAGAGGAGTGCGTGTGAGACACAGTATTATATTTCCAATGATGAACATTATTGACAGGATGCTTCACCGTGACAAGCTCTCTTAGACTGGTTGAATACATGGGTTTTCTCCTGCACCTCAAGGAATTCCACCATGCAACAGATCCTGCCCATTCCTTGGCTTCTCTCAATCTTTC